CGGGCTGCAGCAGCTGACCAGCACCGATCGTCCGGCACTCCCCAGTGAGATGAACCCAGTACCTCAGTTGAAAATGCAGAAATCACCGGTCTTCTGTGTCGCACACGCTGGGAGTTGGAGACTGGAGCTGTTCCTATTCGGCCATCTTCAGAATTTTTCTTGTTTAGAAATTTTAGGTAGAAGTTCTGAGGATTTGATATTTACCTCAGGGATCCTGTATTTGACCTAAGAGAGAGTCAGTAACTAGCGACCTTGGTCTTTTTGATAAGACATGATCATATCTCTTGATAAATGTACTTTTACTTAGGTCACACATCCCGTCAGTCATCCCTTATTGCAGTCGGAATCCTTGGAGTTGTTCTCTTGGCCATTTTCATCGCATTATTCTTGACTCAAAAGCGAAGACAGAGACAGCGGCTTACAGGTTTGAGCCAAATTAGGATTTATCTAGTATGTCTGCAGAATAAGGGGTTCTTGGGAAGAAAAAAAATTAGACTCAAGTCTAATGGCCAGAAAGACGGAATCTAAAAGAGATTTGAGCAGTTTCTCAAAATAGAGGGAAGGGCCAGGACGGTGGCTCACACCTGTAATCCCTGCACTTTGGGAGGCTGAGGCAGGAGGATCACTTGAGTCCAGGACTTCAAGACCAGCCTGGGCAACAGAGGGAGCTCCAATTTCTACATATTTTTTCTTTTTTTAAATAGAGAGAATAAGATTTCAGAGGAGAAAAGGGACTTTAGGTTGCATTGATGATTCCTGTGTTCTATCTACATGCTTAATTGGAACATTATAGAATTGAAAGTTCAGAATGAATATGTTAGGCATTATTTAGGATGACTTTTTTACTTAAACATTTATTTTCTCTTACTATAATCAATCTCCTTATTACAAATTTTACTGTTCTGTTGGGCAATGTATTAGGCTCTGAAGATACAGACATGGACAATAAATCTTGGTGGAACTTCAAGTCCAGTGGAAGAAATATATATGTAAACAAATATACTACAATGTAGCCATTGTACATTAATAGAAAAAAGGAACAAAAGTGGCATAGAGAAGGGCGTAATTAACTGAAAGGGGAGGGGGTTACTGGAGGCTTCAAAGAGGCTTGGGGGACATATTTCAAACATAGAGGCTCAGAGAATTGGGTGAGGAACATTCTAGAGAAGAGTATATACAAGTGTAGAGAAGCCTAAAGGATGAAGCATTTCTTGTTTTTTTTCTGAGGGGGAGGGGGAGAAAAAGTTGAGTGCAAGGAGGGAGGCTGCTAAGTCTGAAGAAGAGAAAAGGCACAAATTATGAAGTTCTTGTGTTTCACATGAGATTCATAGTCATTAGAGTATTATGTAGGGGAGTGAAATGGTCAAGATATCTTTTAGGAAGATCTTTTGGCAACAGGATCTATGAAGATTAAAGGAGGACCACATGACTGACAGGAATGGCATTTTGTAACAGTTGAAGTGAAAAATGAAAAGTACTACAACTATAGTGAGAATGGAGGGGAGAAGAAAGACTTTTAAAGATACTTAAGAAAAGCTCCAGTGAGTTATGGAAGACTGCTTACCCAAATTATGGTCCTTGGGTAAAAATAGTGGGTTTTTACATTAATACAATGGCAGTGGGGAAGATTTAGCCTCATGCCTATTTCCTTTGAGTGTGGGGCGTTATAAAGGAAGAGCTTGGAAGTAGAATGGGATAGAAACAATAGCATGGATAAGGACGAGGTATGTTTGCAGCGCTGGGAAAAAGCACACATACAGGAAGGGAAATTTTATTATGATAGCTGATCCCTAACCTAGGATCTCTGTTTTCAGTTTCCTCAAGAGGAGAGAACTTAGTCCACCAAATTCAATACCGGGAGATGAATTCTTGCCTGAATGCAGATGATCTGGACCTAATGAATTCCTCAGGTCTGTGGGGTTCTTGGAGGGTCTATTGCCCAGGGGTTCAGATCAGGGGCTGCAATTGAGGCATAGACATTTTACTTTGATAAACAGCTAAAAAATTCTGAAAATGTAATAGGAAGCTTAGATGCATATAATGGACAAGAATGACTGAAAATTATTCCTGGAGAATATCAAAATTGCAATCATAGGGAGGCCTTTAGCTTAAGAGGTCTGTGATTATTCCTGATAGAGGTAGGAAAAGAACCATGCAGCGGAATATTATGACTTGGACCTCATTTTATTAAAACAGAAATTAATCTTATGAAAGACTGTCATAAGTGACAGTTTAACTTTTTTCTTTAAATAAATTTTGTTGGATATATTTAAGGCATACAACATGATTTTATGGGATGTATATAGATAGTAAAAAGCTTACTAAAGCAAAGCAAATTAACACATCCATCATCTGACATAGTAACCCTTTTTTGTGTTGTTCTTGTGGCAAGAGCAGCTAAAACCTACTCACTTAACATGAATCCTATATACGGTACAATTTTATTGCCTGTAATCCTACTGTTGTAAATTAGACCTCTAGACTCGTTCATCCTACATAGCTGCTACTTTGTATCTTCTGACCTATGTATGTCTTTCTCAGTTTCTTCCATTCCCATTTCCTGTCACTTTTTTCTCTAGCTTCATATTTATTATATTTTTCCCTAAAAGTCGAAAACCTTAAACTTTCCATATCTTTATTGCATGAGAAGACATCAAAATCCACAGGACTAGCCTTATTTCTCATCACATCATGCTGTTGTGTCCTTGAACTTCTGTTTAGCACCAGTGACACTAATTGTGCCTCTGGGGCAGGATAACTTTACTGGGTTGGAAGAAATATCCCAAAAACCATTGTCTTTATCCATGAAGGGTCCCTGACCTTCTGAGAGGGGCCTGCCTCACTTCTTCAATCCAAACAATTATGCATCTGCCACTGTGTCAGGGAATATATTTAAGGTATAAGAAACATGTACTGTGTCAGGAAACATATTTAAGGAATAGGAAAGACTTTCTCTGCCCCGTGACTCACCCATGCTTGCCTTCCTAGTTATGGGTAGCGTTTTCAGTTGCTCAAAGAGCCTCACAGTTACGTGAGGAGAGGTCTGGTTTATTTCCCAGTAATTATTTTCTTCCTTTCAGAAAATTCCAATGAGTCAGCTGATTTCAATGCTGCTGAACTAATTTCTGTGTCTAAATTTCTTCCTATTTCTGGAATGGAAAAGGAGGCCATTCTGAGGCACACTGAAAAGGAAAATGGGAATTTATAACCCAGTGAGGTGAGTGATGAGAATTTATTAGTCATTGTTCAAAACAGCTACATTTCTTTTGAGGATTGAGAGCTCTTCTGGCATTAGAAAGAAAGAATGTAATATACATATTTTATATGCTTATGTGCATATATTTATATATGTATATATCTATATTGAGAATATATAAAAGCTTATAAATATGATTCATCTCTTAATTATACACATACATGTATAGTAAGAAATAATAATAACACATCCATGGAGCTAAGGAGAAACTGAGTAAACAAATATAAATTAATCTTTTGAAGACATCACAGGTATCATTTCAGGAAAAAGATAAGACATATTACACACCTGCATTGTATAATACATGCTATGGTAAAGACTGTACAAGACACTACAAGAACACAGAAAGTTTGCCTAAGAAACCTTGGGGTTGTTGTAAGGTGATGTGATATTGAAGGTAAACTTTAAAAATGACTGAAAAATAGACAGTTCCAAAGAAAGTTCACAATATGTGCAAACTAGAGGCAGAAAAAAGAACTATGCCTTTACGGAACTATTAGAAGTTTTTTATTCAAAAACATATATTGAACATATTTATGGTAACAAGTAGTACCTCGAGCACTGAAGATACAGAGATAAAAGAGACTATTGGCAAAGACATGATTGTTTAATAAAAGATATCATAGTCTATAGGTGGTAATATGAAGAGGCCATATAGAGAGAAGCGAGGTGGTTAGAATCTAAACTGAAAAGGCTGCAGAGAGCCCTGTAATGAATGGTCTTACCTGCTATATTTTATGTTCATCTTTCATTTGGGGGTCTGTTGAAGAGGTGATGATGAGCTTTGAAAGTTTCAGATGAGACAAGATGATTAGAATTGCATTTTCACAACTTGCTTTCATGAGAAAAACATAAAAAAATTTCAAATGTGAACAAGATTTATAGTTAAGCTACACATCAAGAGAAAAAGTTTGTGAAATGAGTTACTAGATACATTTTCTGTTTCTAAAATAATTTGGGGAAGACTACATCTAGAAATGAAATGTAGAAAAAGTTTTTTTATAGAAATATATATTGTATATACGAAATATAGATTGAGACAAAGGATAAGAGTTGGAATTCTTAAAGCAAATGAAATGTAAATTGTGAATATCTATAAAATGCACAGCTGATTTTACATACTATATATACACACATAGATACATGGAGTTCTTATAAACTGTACAGAGCACAAAAGGGTTAATATATGTGAATGTAAATTGTGTGTATGCATGTGTATGTGTAACGTCCAATAGATAATTGGGCAAAGCTATGAAAAGACAATTCAGACAAAATGAATTTCAAATGACGGACATTTTTAAATGTCTGGAGGATTGAAATTATAATTAACAATGAGGTATCACTTCATACAAATCAGACTAACAAAAATTTGAAATACCATCAATATTTATTACTGGCTGTAATACAGAGAAAAAGGCCATTTCAAACACTGCTCTTGGAAGTGTGAGATATGGTAGGTAGCCTTTGGAGAAAGCAATCTGGCAACTTCTATTAAAAATTATTTTCAAAGATTCATAGAGCCTTTGACCCAGCAATTCTATCCCTGAGAATTTCTTCCATACCAATAAAGTCACTAGTGTGTAATGAGAAATACACAAAGATTCCTTTTTGCAAGGTTGTTGAAAGTGGCAACAAACTAGAAACAAAGTGAATGCCAGTTGACAGAGTAGTGGCTGGAAATATTATGGTTTAGGCAACTAAAAAAGAAAAAATCATCTATAAAATATAATAATATGATTCCATTTATGTATTGGCTATAATGAAATATAATGTTTACATCTATAAAATTATGCATTTGTATGTGCATAAAGAAGCTAAAAATTCTAGTGTTGTAAACTGAGAACCATGAATAATATTTGATTTATAATCTGAAGCATATGAATGTTTTCTGATGTGATAAATAATAACTGAACTACTTTTCCCTTAAAGAGTAATCACCACTGAATAACTGCTTCAGAATCACATGAGGGTGCTTTTAAAAAATGGCGATTTTTTTTTTTTTTTAATCTTTAAGTTCTGGGATACATGTGTTGAACATGCAGGTTTGTTACATAGGTATACATGGGTCATGGTGGTTTGTTGCACCTATCAACCCGCCATCTAGGTTTTAAGCCCTGCATGCATTAGGGGCTTAAATTTGTCTTAATGCTCTCCCTCCCTTTGCCCCCTACCCCCCGGCAAGCCCTGGTGTGTGATGTTCCCCTCCCTGTGTCCACGTGTTCTCATTGTTCAACTCCAACTTATGAGTGAGAACATGCTGTTTTGGTTTTCTGTTCCTGTATTAGTTTGTTGAGAATGATGGTTTCCAGCTTCATCCATATCCCTGCAAAGGACATGAACTCATTCTTTTTTTATGGCTGCATAGTATTCCATGGTGTATATGTACCACGTTTTCTTTATCCAGTCTATCATTGATGGGCATTTAAGTTGGTTTCATGTCTTTGCTGTTGCAAATAGTGCTGCAATAAACATACGTGTGCTTGTGTCTTTATAGTAGAATGATTTATAATCCTTTGGGTGTATACCCAGTAATGGGATTGCTGGGTCAAATGGTATTTCTGGTTCTAGATCCTTGAGGAATTGCTACATTGTCTTCCACAATAGTTGAACTAATTTACACTCCCACCAACACTGTAAAAGCATTTCTATTTCTCCACATCCTCTCCAGCATCTGTTGTTTCCTGATTTTTTAATGATCACCATTCTAACTGGCATGAGATGGTATCTCATTGTGGTTTTGGTTTGCATTTCTCTAATGACCAGTGATGATGAGCTTTTCATCAAGTTTATTGGCCACATAAATGTCTTCTTTTGAGAAGTGTCTGTTCATATCCTTTGCCCACTTTTTGATGGGGTTGTTTGTGTTTTTCTTGTAGATTTGTTAAAGTTGCTTGTAGATTCTGGATATTAGCTCTTTGTCAGATGCATAGATTGCAAAAGTTTTCTCCCATTCTGTAGGTTGCCTTTTCACCCTAAATGATAGTTTATTTTGCTGTGTAGAAGCTCTTTAGTTTAATTAGATCCCATTTGTCAATTCTTGGCTTTTGTTGCAATTGCTTTTGGTGTTTTAGTTATGAAGTCTTTGCCCATGCCTATGTACTGAATGTTACTGCCTAGGTTTTCTTCTAGGATTTTTATGGTTTTAGGTCTTATGTTTAAGTCTTTAATCCATCTTGAGTTAATTTTTGTATAAAGTGTAAGGAAGTGGTCCAATTTCTGTTTTCTGCATATGGTTAGCCAATTTTCTCAGCACCATTTATTAAATAGGGAATCCTTTCCCCATTGCTTGTTTTTGGCAGGTTTATTGAAGATCAGATGGTTGTAGAGGTGTGGTGTTACTTCTGAGGCCTCTGTTCTTTTCCATTGGTCTATATATCTGTTTTGGTACCAGTACTATGCTGTTCTGATAACTGTAGCCTTGTAGTATAGTTTGAAGTCAGATAGCTTGATGCTTCCAACTTTGTTCTTTTTGCTTAGGATTGTCTTGGCTATACAGGCTCTATTTTGGTTCCATATCAAATTTAAAGTAGTTTTTTCCAGTTCTGTAAAGATAGTCGATGGTAGCTTGATGGGGATAGCATTGAATCTATAAATAACTTTGGGCAGTATGGCCATTTTCACAATATTGATTCTTCCTATCTATGAGCATGGAATGTTTTTCCATTTGTTTGTGTCCTCTTTTCTTTCCTTGAGCTCTGGTTTGTAGTTCTCCTTGAAGAGGTCCTTCACATCCCTTGTAAGTTGTATTCCTAGGTATTTTATTCTCTTTGTAGGAATTGTAAATGGGAGTTCACTAATGATTTGGCTCTCTGCTGGTCTATTATTGGTGTATAGGAATGCTTGTGATTTTTGCACATTGATTTTGTATCCTGAGACTTTGCTGAAGTTGCTTATCTGCTTAAGGAGTTTTTCGGCTGAGATGATGCGGTTTTCTAACTATACACTTGTGTCGTCTGCAACAAGAGATCATTTGAGTTCTTTTTCCTGTTTGAATATGCTTTATTTCTTTCTCTTGCCTGATTGCCCTGGCCAGAACTTCCAATACTCTGTTGAATAGGAGTGGTGAGAGAAGACATCCTTGTCTTGTGCTGGTTTTCAAAAGGAAAGCTTCTAGGTTTTGCCCATTCAGTATGATATTGGCTGTGGGTTTGTCATAAATAGCTTATTATTTTGAGATACGTTTCATCAATACCCAGTGTATTGAGAGTTTTTAGCATGAAGCATGTTGAATTTTATCGAAGGCCTTTTCTACATCTACTGAGATAATCATTGAGTTTTTGTGATTGGTTCTGTTTATATGATGGATTACATTTATTGATTTGCATATGTTGAACCAGCCTTACATCCAGGGATGAAGCCAGCTTGATTGTGGTGGATAAGCTTTTTAATGTACTGCTGGATTTGGTTTGCCAGCATTTGATTGAGGATTTTTGCATCAATGTTCATCAGGGATATTGGCCTGGTATTTTCTTTTCTATGTTGTGTCTCTGCCAGGTTTTGGTATTAGGATGATGATGGCCTCATAAAATGAGTTAGGGAGGAGTTTCTCTTTTTCTATTGTTTGGGATAGTTTCAGAAGGAACGGTATTAGTTCTTAGCTCATCTTTGTACCTCTGGTAGAATTCAGCTTTGAATTCATCTGGTCATGTTGTTTTTTTTTTTTTTTTTTTTGGTTGGTAAGCTATTAATTACTGCCTCAATTTCATGACTTGTTATTGGTCTATTCAGATTTGACTTCTTCCTCGTTTAGTCTTGGGAGGATGTATGTGTCCAGGAATGTATCCATTTCTTTTAGATTTTCTAGTTTATTTGTTTAGAGGTGTTTATAGCATTCTCTGATGGTAGTTTGCATTTCTGTGGGATCAGCGGTGATATCTCCTCTATCATTTTTTATTATATTTATTTGATTCTTCTCTCTTTTCTTCTTTATTAGTCTGGCTAGTGATCTGTCT